TTGGCCCTTGCACTTATGTGGGAAACCCTGGGGAGGCTCCCGGCTCCTTGCTTCAGATCAGCTCAGCTCCAGCCATTGTGCCCATGTGGGGAGTAAACCAGCAGATGGAAGACCTTTCTCTCTTCCTCTATCTGTAATTCTGCCTCTCAATAAATAAAACCTTGAAAAAAAAGAGAATTGGAAGTGAAAAATCATGTGGGGCCAGTATTGTGGTGTGGTGGATTAACCCGCCATTGGCAAATGTGAGCATCCCAAGTGGGCATCCCATGTTAGGCACGGCTTCAAGTTCTGGCTGCTCCACTTTCAATTCAGTTCCTTCTAAATCACCTGGGAAAGCAACAGAGGATGGCCCAACTTCTTGGTCCTTGCACCCATGTGAAAGACCAGGAAAAAGCTTCTGGCTCCCAAGTTTGGCCTGGCCCAAATCCAGCCATTGCAGCCATGTGTGGAGTCAATCAGCAGATGGAAGACCTCTCTCCCTCTCTTTCTCTAAATCTGCCTTTCAAATAAACAAATAGATCTCTAAAATAATAAATTAACAAATGAAAAGTAAAAAGACCACAGTCCCAGAGGAAAATAAATAAGGGCTATAAACAATAATCAAATGGAAAAATGTTTGGGGCCAGCATTGTAGCACAGTGGGTAAAGCCACTCTCTGTGACACCTGCATCCCATATGAGCATTGGCTAAGTCCCAGATGCTCCACTTCTGATCCACCTTCCTGCTAATGTGCCTTGATATGCAGCGAAATATGGCCAAAGTACTTGGGCTTTACACCCAAGTGGGAAAAACAGAAGCTCTTGGCTCCTGGGCTTTTTTCTGGCCCGGCAGGGGCCATTGTAGCCATTTTGGGGGTGAACCAGGGTATGGAAGATTTGTCCGTCTCTCTCCCTCTCTCTCTGTAACTCTGCTTTTCAAATAAATAAAATAAAATCTTAAGAAAAGTAAAAATTGAAAATATGCTCAACCTCACTCATCTCAATTTTAAAATAGTCATAAAATCATTAATACTATAGTAGTATACAATTCCTATAGATTTGACAAATATTTAAAACAAAGTTGGACAAAACACAGTATTTGCAACACTGACACACGTGGGCATTTCTTAAGAATTTTTTAAAATTTTAGCTCCCACATATAAGGGTGAACATGCGCTATTTGTCTTTCTGGATCTGGCTTATTTTACTCAACACGATGTCCTTCAGTTCCAACCATGTGGCTTCAAATGAATTTCATTTTTTATAGCTTTATTTAATAGATCCATTAAGCCTTTGACTATAATGCAAATTAAAATATGTTATCTTATTAAGAGAAATAAAATATAAAAAAAGAAACCATTTAGATGTTTTGGAAATATAAATTATAAATGTTAAATCAGTGTTCATAGTCCATAACTGGTTCATCAGGTAAACTAAAGCATTTTGGAAAGTTTGTAAACTTTTTTTAGACTGATAACCAGGCGAAACCTGATTCACTAGGTATGATACAGTACAAAATCTTTGCTAATAAAGCAAATTACCTTCCAGCAATATACTGCACTGTCAAAACACATACCTGTGAATAAACACTGGTGGCATGATTAGCAAATTCAAAATCCGCATTTTAACTAAGGCTCATACTGTAATACTGTACTTTTTATTTAACCAGTGGACTCATCATTTATTATGAGCATGCTTACAAAGCACATGAGCCCTAAGTTTGTTTCAGGCCATGGGTTTTCTCAGTGAACAAGATCAATGGAAAGGTGCTAAAGAATCACAGAGGGATCTCAAGTGTCAGCCAACTGTAATATAAGCTCATAACTTGACTTTCCCATGTGCCTGGAACTTACATGAATCCTTCCACTTCCCTAAGCCTAATTCCTTACATGTCAATGAGAACAGTAATAGCTATGCACATGGGAAGGTTGCATTTTTAAAAGGCTGTAAATATCACAGAACAGAATAAATCACAGAACAGAATTTTAAAAATTATTTCTTCCTCAACTCATATAATCTCAAGTCCTCTGAATGCTTTCAGGGCCTAGACAGAATGTTCCATGTGGGGTGATACTGGATATCCCTCTTTCTCAGATGACAGAGACTCTCAGTAAACAACTACAATGTATGAGGTCACAAAGAAAAAGAAGACATCAAATATGGGCAGTAGGGTTGAAGACCACGAGTTCCCAATCATTTTAGTCCCTACCCCCAAAAAACTGTACAAAATCCCAATCTTCATTATTGCTAGCTTCCCCTTACCCACTGGGTGAAAGTTCTAGGAAGCAAATTTGTTCTTTTTTTAAGATTTTATTTATTTTATTTGAGAGTTAGACTTACAGACAGTAAGAGACAGAGAGAAAGGTCTTCCTTCCATTGGTTCACTCCCCAGATGGCTGCAAAGGCTGGAGCTGCACTGATCCGAACCCAGGAGCCAGCAGCCAGGAGCCTCCTCCAGATCTCCCATGTGGGTGCAGGGCCCAAGGACTTGGGCCATCTTCTACTGCTTTCCCAGGCCATAGCAGAGAGCTGGACTGGAAGTGGAGCAGCCAGGACTAGAACCTGCACCCATATGGGATGCCGGCGACGCAGGCGGATGATTAACCTATTGTGCCACAGCACCAGCCCCAGGAAGCAAACTTGAACTCAAATTAAAGACCTTGATAATGAGGTTTGTGTTTCGATGCAGTGGGTTACACTAATGCCTGCAACAGCAGCATCCTGTATCTGAGCAGAGGTTCAAGCCTTGGCTGCTCTGATCTCATCCAGCTCCCTGCTAATACATATGGGAAAACAGTGGATGATGGCACAGTACTTGGGCTGCAGCCAACCATGTGGAAGACTCAGATGGTATTCCTGACTTCAGCCTGGCCAGGCCCAGACCCTGACTGCTGCAGCCATTTGAGGAGAAAAACAGTGAATGGAACATCTCTTTCTCTCTTTGTCTCTCCTTCTCTCTCTGTCATTCTGCCTTTCCAATAAATAAAAATCAATCTTAAAAAAGACCTTGAAAGTAAATTTATTTCTGTGATGTTAGGACAAGTGTGTTAGTAAATAGAGGATCTCTACCACTGGAAGTAGTATTTGCCTAACACTTGGGGATTCCAGTCAACGGTCAATATATCTTAAAGAATATATAAACTTATTAAATATACTATGCTTTCATATACATTGTTAGCTGTATCCTTATTTTATGGATTAGACTAATGGTAGTTAAGCGATTAGAACAAATCAGGTTTTTCCAGTGATTTTAGAACCAATCAGTTCATAGGTGATATATATATAATGAAGCGGTCATTTCATTTTCATAACAACTCTCTATATAATTGATACTGTGCATGGATATTCCACAGAATAGAGTAGGTAGATAATACACATCTAGATGACAGCCAAGAGAGCCCATTAAGTCCCAGGATTCTACCATTCCAGTTTCTAGAATTAAGATCTTTTCTCAAATGGATTTAGTCTGACTTCCTAACTCCTGTGTCAGAGAGAATACTACTTATGTTTCTTTCCAGTTTTGTTGAGGCCAATATAATGACAAAAAGCTGGACATCAAAACCTTCCTTTCTAGGCTGAATTTATTAAAGCTTACTATGACCCAGGTGGATTGCAAAGTACATTTAATGAATCTAGCACTTAAGGTTCCCATAAAAACCACATAGGATTAGTATGTCATTATTGTCATCTTTCACATAAAGAAAAGCACACAGAACTGAAATAGATTGCTAAAGTTCCCACAGTTAGTAAGGGCAGAGATGAGAATCAAAACCAGGTCTATTTAACTCCAGAATATGCAATCCTAATCATTATGTTAGATGGTAATACATTGATAGATACAATAAATACTATTTATAAATACCATAAGTGTCTCAATTGAGAGTGTGTATATGTGAATAATTATTGGAAGAATGATTAACAAATTCAAAATTGGCATTTCACATACATTTTATCCACAGTATTGTATACTTATTTAACTAAAGAGTTCAACTTTTGCTATATTCATAATTATTAGTCCATGACATTTTAATAATAAACATATCAAATCAGATACTATTCTGAAACATTTCCAAATACTCTAAGCCTGTTATGTAAAAAACAAACTTTTTGTTTTTCTTAGAAACTCACTAGCCCAGGGGAAAAACAAAATTGTAGTAACCAAATTTAGTGTTAACTCATCTCATTCACAATGAAAAATACAAAACACCATCATTGCAAAGATAATTAAAAAGCCAGGATACAGCAAACTTCCATGCATGAATGTAAGGCAATACATTATAATTTCACGCCTTATTATGAATAATTAAGAAAGGAGGGTAGAGGGGAAAAAGAAAAAGAGTCTAGAGATGAGAAATTAAAAAGAAATATATAGATAAACTAAAGAAAAATGTGAGCCAAAAAAACACTGAACAATGTAGCAAAAGTACAACACATCCATGCTACACAGACATAGATCCTTAGCAATGAGACATAGAAAGAAGCCATGTAAAAAGTGAGACCACAATAAATGATTAGTCAATGAAAGAATAAGCCCAGGACATGAATCTTCAATACACTAGATTTCCATTTTGTAGTCTTCCAGGATTTTAAAGTTATGATGCATTTTACCCACACCCATAGTAGTCTCTTGGCATTTGACTTAGACCAGAATAAATGAGAGTCTCATTTTCTTTCCAAATGAACATGATCAGGTCCCTGTAATAAATGATGGTATAAAATTTTGAAACTTCTGTAAATAATCACTCAGAATCTCCTCATAAGTTATTAGCCTTGAAACTGGATACTAACAGGGTTATAACTCATGAGTTTCACCATTTTTCATCTTCCCCCACAGAAAATTCTTGTTTGATTTCCATGATCATGTGAACATTCATTTTACAAGTTTAAATGTCTACCGTTAAGGCATGTAGCTGTATCTCTGTGTACTTCACACCCATTCAAGAGTATTTGCTCTTCTATATTTGTTAAAGTCACTGTATTTGCTACAGTTGGATTACACCAGACTCCAAGACCCCTTTGTACCTGTTGTCTATCCAGACGCATCCTCTTGGCAGCATTTCTGCTCTCACTCTCACAGGCTGAAGCCAAGATACTCTCTGCAACTGCTGAAGTAAGGTGGGAAGGAATAGGTCGAGACTAAAAAAAAAAAAAAAAGAGAAAAATAAGAATAATTATTAACAGTATCAACAGTGGGCCAATGCTATTCTCAGAAGAGCTCAGAGATCATCAACACGTGCAGGAAGATCCAGTTATTCAAACTGAGTTTATATCAATAACAAAAGGAAATGAGAATTGGAAAGATGATCCATGAAAGCTAGTTAGAGGTTAAAACTATAGATGCTACACAGATCCATCATTCATTCTCAGAGCTCCATTGTCACAAATATTAAGTCTGGGCCATTAAACTGGGCTTTTGAACAGTCAGCAGCAAAACTACCGACTGGATTTTGCAAATAAAGCAAGTCCTTTAATTCTTTTGTAACATATGACAATGCACAATGAAACAAAACAAAATCAAGTGACAGGGCTGAAACATAATTGAAAAACAGACACACAGACCATGTCAAACCACCTCACAATGAATATTATGAATATTTACAGTCTAAGTTCTGGCACAATCAATGTCTATAAAATGCTTCAAAAAGTCATACTAACTTAAAACTACAAAGAGGTCAGTCCTAGATTGACTTTCATATATCAATAGTTATATTTTAGATGTGAGATGTGTTTGCTTGTATGTGTACATGTTTATTTTGTTTTATTTATAGAATGAGTTTATATGATTAATTTAATAGGTACATATTGCCATGTAGGTGACATCGAAATTAATTAATCCCCTAGCTCAGTCCCTAATTAACTGCAAATTATTTTCAGTTCTCTATATCATTTGGGATAATCATAGAAAAGTTCTCTATTCTTATCTTTCATAATTTCATGCAAAATCATCTGACTGAAAGATGAAGTACTTAATGATACAGAACATTTTTTAATTAAGATAAGCAAATGATAGATAAGAAATAACATGAAAATTAAACTGGATGAGATAGCAAAATAATGTGAAATTACAAAATAAAATTATCTTTTGGGAATCTAGCATTAGGGGCATGCCACCTTCAGGTTTTTCAAACCCTCCACCCAACATACACATTTATGCCTCTGAATTAACCAAGACATTTACAAGCTTTTGTGTGTGTGTGAAAAATCTTTGTGGCTTTATGGGACCCAATTCATTCTAAAATATACTTTTTCAAATGGAAACACTGGGTTTACATCTCAAACTAAATTCCAGAATGATCAAATTCAGACCACAGTGCTGTACCAGGCACTCCTCAGTAAAATCTGGGTAGTGTAGGAAGAGACCCAGCTCTCACCTTTTGTGAACTAGGAAGCAGTTTCTGCAGCTGCCTCAACATATTCTCACTGCTTCCACTGCCAAAGTAGCCTCCAAGGACCAAAGGTAGGAGAGGTGCTAGATTCAGGGTGTATCAGCTAGTTAAGTGAGCTGTCTGAAAGGAGGGCTGGCAACGCTGACAGTCAAGCAGAAGGATGTTTGGAATGTTATTTTTGCAAAAGAGAGAAGGGAGAGGACCCTGAAGTTGAAGGGAAAATCGCAGAAGTGTTTTGAGAAGGAAATTAAAAACCAGGACCTTGACTTGGAAATAGAGAGGGGAATCAAATCTGAAAATTAAAAAAAAAAAAAAAAAAGTGCCATAAGACAATGTCAGGACAATTTCAAAACCCATGTTGCTTCCTCATTTCATTCTCTGTTTCACCAAGTCTGGAGAAAGCAATCTAGTTAAGAACCAAATAAATATTAAACTACAAAATCAGTGTCTCATTCAAAGACAGGCACTGTGTGGCTCAAAGTCAATATTAAGCCATTTGGGTGTTAGGTACTCATGGCCATCCTTTTCTTACCGAACTATTTTGAGACAAAGGTTTTATAGGGAAAACAGGAATTAGAAGATTCTATTATGAAAAAAGAAATCGAATTCTCTAATTGAAGTTAGCATTTTCAGAAAAGTGCTCATACATTTTATCAGCTATGTTATTAAACCTTTCCTATCGTTCCAGAGATGAAATTAACATAATGTACATAAAACATCAGCAATGTACCTTAATCCAATTATTGATAGCTTATTGGATTCCAAGAGACTTATTTGGGTTCTTTATTATCTCTGTTTTCTCTCAATATCAGGTATACCTATTTCAAATTAATAATATATACAACTATTAGATTTTATTGAATGGATTAAATTGCATTACAAAACACATAAGTCCCTTGAATCTATAAAAGTTTGTTGAAAAGGAAGAACAGAGGGAAACCATTCCTTTAAAATTATTAAGTAGTATTTCCTCTCTAACTTTATTTTTATTTTTAAAAACAAAATAAGAAAACAATAAAATAACAAACTATTAAACTATTAAACAATAAAAATTGTTTTTCTTAATAATTATGCACGTTCCTTCAGAGAAAAATAATAGTGAGGGCAGGATGTTTTTCAGATTGTTAAACTCATCTTCTAAAAAACTAGAATAATGTCTTGCCTGAATAGAACTAGAAACTCTTTAAGGCCATCTGATAACCTAATATATCAAGGTTTTAGAAAAAAGTAAACTTAAAAATAAAACAATTATGAACTCTGTCCTTATGAATGAGAAAATAAGCAGAAATATAGTATTAGCCTACAGATAAATAGTGCAATTTTGAAAATAGAATTGGTCTACATTTATTGTAGAACCATAATTGGATAGCTGTAAATTGACATAGAAGTCACCTAGTACATTTTTCTTCCCTGAAGTCTGAAGAAATTGAAACCCAAATAGATTAGTAACTTGTCCAAAGACAAATTGAGCTAGATATAGAACCCAAATTTCATCTCTTCCAATACTCAAATCATTCACTCTCCCATATTCAACTCTATATTCAGTATCTTTACGTAACTTATCATTAATGTAAAAATAAATTCTTTCAAAAATCCTTATGTACAAACTCTCATGTTGAATCAAAAAATAAGCAGACCATAAGACTTTTACATGGATGTATCACAATTCTCATAATTGGTGTGACATCACTGGACAGAATTAATTCATAAAATTTATATTACAGTCAAGGAAATACATGTATCTTTCAGATATCACACACTGTGTGTGTGTGTTTAAGATTTTAGTATATCTCACATATATAATAAAATATGTACCTCCAAATAAAACCAGGATTATAATATCTTATTTTTAGATAAATATTAATAACAGCTGCCTCAGTTGCCAGTATTGTGCAGTAGTGGGTAAAGCTACCACCTTTGATGCTGGCAACCCATATGGGTTCCAGTTGTAGTCCCAGCTACTCCACTTCTTATCCAGCTCCCTGCTAGGAAAACCAGAGGAAGATGCTCCAAGTGTTTGGGGCCTGCCACCCATATGGGAGACCCAGAAGAAACTCCTGGCTCCTGGATACAGAGTGGCAAATCCCTGGCAATTGTGGCCTTCTGGAGTTGAACCAGTAGATGGAAGACTCTCTCACTCTCTTTCTCTCTGTAACTCTACCTTTCAAAATAAGTAATAAGGGGCCGGCGCTGTGGCGTAGCGAGTAAAGCCGCTGCCTGCAGTGCCGGCATCCCAAATGGGCATTGGCTGAGGTCATGGGTGGTCCACTTCCTATCTAGCTCTCTGCTGTGGACTGGGAAAGCAGTAGAAGATGGCCCAAGTCCTTGGGCTCCTGCATCCATGTGGGAGACCTGGAAGAAGCTCCTGGCTCCTGGTTTTAGATCAGCACAGCTCCGACCGTTGCAGCCAATTGGGGAGTGAACCAACAGATGGAGGACCTCTCTCTCTGCATCTCCTTCTCTTTCTGTGTAACTCTGGCTTTCAAGTAAAATAAATAAATCTTAAAAAAAAAAACAAATAAACAACAAAATAAGTAATAAATCTTTAAGAAAAAATTAATAGCTGACTTATGCTTAGCTCTTAGGATATTCATGCATCAGTACAAAAAGCTTGGATTCAGTACTTAATCTTCTAAACAATCCTAAGGAAATCTACTTATATTTCTTATGTTTTAGAAAAAATAAATTACAGTTTTGACAAATTATATTTCTTGACCCAAAACATGTGGAAATACTCACATCTGTGGAGATACTTGGATTCAAAATTAAGTTTGGTGGAAGATTGGGAATAATACTTAATGATAAGGAATTATTCTTTTAGAATTTAGGCCTCAGTGAGCATAAAGAAAGCTAGAACTCTTAAATTCTATACATTCCTGTGAAGAATCATTAATCCTATTTTGCATTTAATCAAATAGTATATTAGAATCTCCCTAACATCCTTCTCTTAGAGTAACTGAAATCCTCCTCACTACCTTCCCTATTAATCCTTTAAAGCACATCTTCATTAATAGCACAAAGATAAAAGTGTAACTTGTCTAAGTTATGCTACCATGTTCTAAGCTGATTACATCTAAATCCACAAAGTTTTAATGTAGGAGCACCCAGAGGCACAACAAATTGTGGTAGATTAAAAATAATAAAGTTTAGTTTCGGGTCCAAATTGAAAAAGCAAGAGCCAGGCAAAGAAGCTCTGTCTTTTCTGTGAGGCAACAACTTTAAAAATCCCTTTGCTTTTAATATGGATGAGCCAATAATAAATTGCCAGTGTTTCCCAAAGTTCAGCTACGTGATGCCTGGTATTATTTTTCCCCCATAGTTTGGCTCGTAACCATATTATAACTCAAAAAGTTAATATGTTTTGCTCCTTATGAGAGCATTTTTTTTTTTTTTTGACAGGCAGAGTTAGACAGTGAGCGAGAGAGATGGAGAGAAAGGTCTTCCTTTTGTCAGTTCACTCCCCAAATGGCCTCTACGGCCGACATGCTGCGCCAGTTCGAAGCCAGGAGCCTGGTGCTTCTTCCTGGTCTCTCATGCGGGTGCAGGGCCCAAGCACTTGGGCCATCCTCCACTGCCTTCCTGGGCCACAGCAGAGAGCTGGACTGGAAGAGGAGCAACCGGGACAGAATCCGGTGCCCCAACTGGACTAGAACCCGGGTGCTGGTGCCACAGGCGGAGGATTAGCCTAGTGAGCCACGACGCCGGCCCTATGAGAGCAATTTTATCAGAGAAATTTAAAATTATTATTTA